GCAAGATAATTGCCAAAGAGCTCAGAGGATAAAAGGTCCTTCTTCATAATGTCCACCCCCGCCCATTGCAAAAATCAATATTAACAACAAGCAGGACAGTGGCAGATTCTTGCAGGCTGCTGCGTCCCCAAAGTTGAAAATGTGATTTTTAGAAAATACTCAGCTGGACTAGAGAGAAAAGGAAGGCTTCCACATGAGTTCTGAACACACATCCAGTGGTGCAGTGCATGTGGAAGATGCAAGGCCTTTTTGTCCTTATAACCTCTGCTAAAGAACTACAAGGCCGCAAATCTGCTCTATATTTGATGAATCCTTTGGAAATACGCCAATCTAATTTCAAAGAGTTTAAGATCCTGTTATCTGTGGACCAACCCAATGATTAGGAAGGCCTTCCATCAATAGTTTGAGATGGCTGGATTAGAAGTACTGGACCAGAGGCCCTCTAGGTTGCCTCCAGGGCCCCCTGTCTATGATTTTGAGTTACAAGTTCGCACTTGCAATGATACAAGAAAGTGCACACATTCTACTCAAAAATTGTTTTGATTGGCCTTCTGCCAGTTTTTATTCCTCCCTCTTTTCCCTGCCCCTCAAAATCTCAGCCCCATTTCTTTATCTATCTGGCTGTTTTCTCCAGTGAGAAAGTTGAACGTGGTGTTTTACTTTCCCAGAAAATGACTACTTGTTCACAAATCATACTGCTTTAGAACTGAAAAGGAATTAGACTCAGAGGTTATGGGGAAAGAGCAGAGAAGGACAGACTTGCCTATGATCTCTCTATTAATTAGTGGGAAGAATTTTCTGGAACACAAGTTTTCCAGTTTCTGATCTAACGATCACTGCAACTCACCATTGCAGAAAAAAATAATCAGAATCCTTTTGAAAAAGAAGTTTACTATGTATGCAAAGTCCCTTTTAAGAAGAGTAGTTCAACTACTGTCAGAAGAACCATTTACTTAAGATGAGTTTGTGCCCATTTCATAAGCCCAAACAGTAATTGAGTTTCCTAGAGATGAACCATTAACAGGTGCATTTTGAGCCTAGGTGATCAAATTTAAAAAGGAAAAGAAAGACATTAAACCTGCTTGCCAAGCTGAAAAAATTTTTCTCCTTACAAAAAAGGATGAAGAACAGTAAATTTCCTACCTTAAGATGCAAAGAATGTGTAGCCCCCAACCCCCATCCCAGCAACAGGCTATTTCCTGGTTGAGTTTAAAAATTCAATGACGTTCCTGTTTCAACCCACACATCTGTGTCACTGTCAGCGTCAGTGGCAGGAAAACAGACAAGTCACCCTTTGCTAATGATTTCCTAACATGGAATTTCCTTGTATCTCCTAAAGCCTTTCTTCTTCCAATGCTAAACTGCCCCCTCCCTCTTAAACACATTGTACCAATGGATGGAAAACTGAAAATGGTCACGGCCGGAAGAGGATGGTTTATAAGCAGAGCTTGTAAGGAAGAGCTTCAGCACTTGAGATTTTTAAAGAGAGAAGAGGGGAAGGACTGCTAGTGTTTCTATGCCATTAGGAACAACACAGGGAGATTTCCTTCAAAGGAGTCTGGAAATCTCTCAGCTACATCTCTTTCTTTCCCTCTTCCTTCCTCCCCCTTTCCAAGTTTCAGTTTGAGCAACATTCTCACAGCAATACTGGAGGAAACAAACTCACGTCCCACAGAACTAGACAAGGGCAGAGGATGAGGCCCCCCAGAGCAGGGACAGGCACTGGAAGACCACCAAAGCACAAAGCAACACAGAAACCCGTCACTTTTCCCCTGTAGAGAATATCCTATTTAATATGTAAACTGGTTATCGAGAGAAAAGAGGGCTGTTACTTTAAGGGGAAGAAGCTGATTAGCTGCTCTGGCTGGCAGCAAACAGCTGGTCTGTCCGGCAGGTTCAAGGCCATTTCAGCTTCTCTCTTATGGAGGCACCATATGTTCCATCTCGCACATCAGCAGCTTTATTTTCCAATGATCTTGCTCCAGAAGAGAAGCACAAAGGGGGGAGGAGAAGGTAGAACCAGTAGTTTACCCTTTGATTACTTTCTGGTGGTTTTAGATGCAGTTTGGATGTATGTGGTGTGTGTGTGTGTGTGTGTGTAGGAGGCTGGGAGAGTTTAAAGCTTTACCTTCTTCTCCAAAGAGTAGAGAGCAAATGTTCAACTAACACTTATATATTAATAACCTCCAGAGATAGGAATGGAAGTGGAGTTGGGTAAAGATACCTGAAAAGGCCCAAATGAAACGTCGACATCAGTTTAAATGCTCATGGGGGTGCAGAGGCAGCGAGAGATCGTGAGGAATCTATGCTCCATAAACCCACTAGCCTGAGCTGCAGTCCCGCCCACTTCTTCTTGTCTTTTTTTTTTCTTATTGTTAGTATTCCCTTCCTGAACAAAGTTTGGGAGAAGAGAAGTGGAGCATTTTGGATGATAGAGAAGAAGCAGGCTGATGTCACCATTCCTCCGTGCAAACCCTGGTTCCTCCAAGTTTTGGGGGGAAGCAGGTGTAAGGGGAAGGTCTCACTAAGTTGTAAATGCAACTAAACCTGACTGCCTGAGCGTCTGGGACACCCACAGGCGCCAAATGCTGGGTCCCTGCAGAGGCAGCAAACCGGTGCGTGGTCCAGCGCAGTCATTCTAGTTCTCACTGCCCGCCCAAGCTGCACGAACCCTGGAGGTAGCAGCTCCTACTCCCTCGGCGCCACTAAACAAAGGGCACCCGCGAAGAGTTTCAGCCGTTTGTGTGTGTGTGTGTGTGTGTGTTGTGTGTGTGTGTGTGTGTGTGTGTGTGTGT